TTTTGGATTTCTTTGATTATTAATTGGTAATCAAAACTTTAAATATTTTTAATTATTAATTATTTTTGACTTTAATAACCAAATAAGTTAAATCTCATGATATCTTGCAGAGAAACCTCTTCTGGCTTGGTCCCGAGTTTTAATAATATCACTAAAAATACCGTTTTAAATGCACATCCTCTATTAATGCGCGCCATCAGTCCCTACGGGTTCATGAGAGATTTGTATTTTGATTTTTTTGCATCCAAAATACACAAGTAAAGCTTACGATTAATTATAACCAAATAAGTTAAAGCTAAATTTTTGCATCAAAATATACGTAAGCAAAAATCTCAAATATTATAATTATTAATTGTTTTTGAGTTTTTATTGTTGGAACTCGATGATTTCGTAATTTTAATCAATTTACGTACTCTATTCGATAAAAGTCTGTCAAATTATGCTGTCCAAACAAATTATTTTTTTCGTTTAAGATATTTTTATTTTTCTTTGGTATATTTCTATATACAGTCAACAAGTAAACTCGATTGATAATTAAAAGAATCAATCGAATTTTTCGCAAAATAACTTGATGGCCAACAATGTGCCTTCATAGAATTAATTTTTTCCCCAATGAAAATGAACATGTTATTCGTGCATCTCAACTGTCACGAAATAACAATGCTGAGAAAATGCGTTTGTTTATAAAAAATATTGAATTCAAATGATAATATTTGACAAAACTTTGAATTTATAATTTATGCACATAATTGATAACGCAGCTGTTGTTGATAAATAAAATTTCATTTTTCCTGTTCAATAAATCCAACAATTAGTGAGCTTATGATTTTTCCTAATTTTCCTCTTATTCTCTGAATAAGAATTTATGCTCAGTCAAATATTGACACAAAAACGATGCGATGTTTGTGATACGGAATGTTCTATTTTTAATGAAACAGGTATCGATGTTTCTACATGTATTATAATGAAACGTTTCTGATTCGATGAAAGGTTAACGCAATGAATTCATAGAAAATACAAAGTCTACATATTTCGGAATAACCGAAAAATCTTTATACATGTATTGCGTAGGACATTATAAACATCGTTTAAATAAAATAAGTTAAAACGACCACTATTAGACAGATATTTACACAAACAGTATCTAAATTCAATCTCGATTGATGTCTTTCTAAGCTTACTGTGTGTGTTGTATATAGACATGCAGTCCAGTTAATTTGACAGATTATTTAATGCGATAACCAGACCGGATTATTAGGGGAAATCCCGCCGAAGGTAATTTGACAGACAAAATATTTTAGTATGGATTGAATAACTGATATTACTCTCTAATATGACAGCGATAAAACAAATTGGAATTGGAATTGGAATTGAAAGAGAATAATCCGAACAAGTAATTCGATCTCTAATAATTGAGAACTGGCAACTTCATTTTTGGATTGAGTACATACAAATATAGAAATAGACATCATCACCTACATTTTTAATTTCACAATTAAATAAACGGCGAATTAAAGTAGTTGAACGAATCTTGCAGAGAATAGATTGCGCTTCTCCCAATGACTTAGGATCCGACATTTTTAAAAAGCATTTAAATAATATAAAATTTAACGTGGGTGTTTTCTATGAATCAGATCGTCAGTTGATCTAGTGGGGTATTGTGTATATACTACATGCATACGAGTACGCTAATTGCCAAAAAAATAAATTTCCATAATTAGGTGATAAAGCGGTAACGGAACGGAAAATAAAAAAATTGGATAGGTTCTTGTTTCTTAAAATATAAAAATTACGAAATTAGAAAAATTCCCATTTGAGTATTAGCAATAGTATTAAATCACAATTTATCTAATCTTGCCATTTCAAATCCTATCAATTTAAATTGCACCTTTGTGAGATATGTTTGGACATTAAACTATGTATCAGGAAAATGAACTTAATTTTGTTCATACTTAACGTTAAATTTATGAATGCACTAGCCGTTTTGAAATAAGTTGAGCTGTTCTGACATCATTTATTATGCGTGTAATGAAATGTTGTTAATGGACAATGAAATTTCCAACTATGCTCATGCACGAATGTTTTGGATTGCAATTTAGGATAAAATTTTTTATCAGAATGAAAAATCCTTTTTTGAAATAAAAGAAACAATAACATAAACAATTTAATGTAATTCATGTATGAAATGATATAATAGGATGACAGATTTACGTATACTTTGCATTATGTAATAACATACAGAAACTTTAAAAATTTAAAATTATGCTAACAGAATTTGTTATAATTGAATAGACCTTGAGTTAAGTAATCAATAATCCTCGATGGTAGTTGCGGCTGTTAGTTTTTCACAAATAGATCGAAATATGGCGCCCCGTAAAATCCTAATAGAAATAACTATTTGTTTATGTATAATATAAGCATTAGAAAGAAATCAGAAACTTTATTACCTCAGATTGGGCAACAAGTAGTCAGATCTCCCAAATTACAAGTTGTCGGGAGACAGAAAAAATCAGTTATAACATGCATTTAAAGAAAATTTGCATTTACGGAGGGTAAAATACTTGATGCTTCATATACTTGGAACAAATCAAAGCGCACATTTATGGAGAATAAACAAAGTGCATGCATTTAGGGAGGCTGCATTAGAGAGGTCCGACTGTTTTCGTAAACAATTTTTGGTCTCGATCTAGCATCATAATCCTCATCATCCTGTATACAAACAATACTTGTGATAAAATGATGGATTAAATATATTGACGCATCATATTTGTAAGTTATTTTAAATTGCGCTCATCATACTCGTTCATGAAAGAGAAACTATCGTTTATATGCGCAGAATAGCCTAATTGTGGGATCCGAAGGTACACATTTCAAATCTAATGGCTTGTTTGAATTATTTAATTCGGGTTCAATGTAATACACGTTATCACTCATAAACATAGTTAATAGAGTGTTCCAGTTTATATTAAAACATACATACTGTACTCCGGAGTTGCTCCAAATTGGGTTGTCTTAATATAAACTGAAGCATTCCATTTACAAACTTCTTTCATGCAGTAGGAAGATCATCACTCATACGGAACCTGAGCAGTTCAGATCCGGTTTTTTTAAGAGGAAACTCAATTCTGGTTTAAAGCAAGATAAGTTTATATGGGATATCTAGTTCTTCTATACAAAGATCATACGAATGATTAATTTTTTGAATCGGAATTTCAGAAGCATAGAACACAAAGGCTACCAATCATTTAATTCTTTAAGAGAACGTTAAAAAATTTTTAAATATTCATAAAAGATGTCAGATCCTTAAAACACATAATTAATGTCATTTTTATTGTATAGATTGGGTAGGCTTGATTACTTGCTATAAACAATACAAAGCTGTATACGAAGATGATTAAGATCTTTGAATAAAGAACAAGGGTATTCAACAACTTTTAACTCGGGACAAATCGGAGAATCATAATCTCAAGATTAAAGTTTATTATACGGACTTCTTTTAAGATATTCTTGATTGGTTAATTGTCTGCTTAATAAATCTCTTGTGAATATTGTTTAGTGAGAACACTCGAATTACATTTTGAAATGACTTTCTAAGATTAAAGGTCAATTCCTACAGAGATTAATTAGAATGTTCTTTTATTCATTAAATTTGTCCCCTATTCTTTTTAAACTCAGTTACGTGAAAAAATTTGACATTTTTGTTAAAGCGTCTTTCTATATACGGTCAAATTTTAAAATTTTAATGGATTAGCGCAATTTGAAGGTAAATAATGTCATCTTGAGTCAATAAAAATGTGATCTTGAAATCGACTGATGAACTTATAGAATAGAAACTGATCAGCCAATGGGATGCGCTAGTTTCAACTTCATCAGCCCCCCACAATTAAAATTTATTAAATTTATTAATATCCGAATGTTCCACAAAAGATACAAATCTAGGATCCCGGACTTAAAATTTTCTAATCCTACACGTGTTTAATTAAGCCCGCAGAGAAATCATTCCACAAAGAATAATATCCCACGTTACCGAATATTCTCATTCGCGGTGACATAGTAAACAATTCAAAATTAACAATTATAACATGACGAATACCAGACCACTTATATTCTATAATCAAAGCTGATTAGGAAAAAAAAAGAAAACTTATGAATAACAAAGAGGAATGGATACAATTTGCCGAACATTACGGCAATTGTAACTGAAAAGCAATAGTAAGTAAGTAAAACAAGTTCTAGTTTACAAAATAAGATTTACTTTATGAATTATAACTATGAGTAAATTACACAATTCTTCGATTAAAAATTAATTTATGGCCTCTCATTGAACGGCTCATTGAATTATTGTTTTATCAAAAACGCATATTTAAACTTTTCGTCCGCATTAAAGTAGATTTTTACATCGATTGTACAATAAACTTACTAACAAACGAAAAGTTTTTTTTTTAAGTATTTATTACCTCTTCCAGAAATCCAAAAAAAGAAAAATAGACACATAAATAAAAGGATAGATACTGGCAATCAAATCAATTATTTCTTGTGCGTCCATGCATTAAGTATATGCATAATGTTTTGTAAATACATAATATGAGGATGCATATTATATTTGCATATATGCACGTAACCAAAACCAGTCAGACGCATTCTTGCTATACCCGATTTTTACAATAAAGCGTTAATTGCGTCAATTAATAATTGTGGCTTTTTATACACAACCATGTGTAGATAGAATACTATAATGTAATGTAGTTAAATTAAAGTATATATAACCTGTCTTAAATTCGCTTTTTGCGAATTTTTCCTCTTGTTTTCCTTGTGAGTCTAACGTCTATTTATATATAAAGAGAGTCCCATCTTCCCGGGTCTATTAATCGCCTTTCCTTTATCCCTTTTCCCTTTATCCCTTTTTCTCCCCTCTCACCTCCTCTCGTCATTTATCGTCATCGTAAAAACGAAAAATATCATCACTAATTAGAAATCATACTTCATACATAATATACCAAATGTTAACCAAATCCTTCTTTTCGAACGCAGTTCTCGTCCTCTCCACAGCAGTAACATTTGTTACCGCTGACTACGCCATAAGTTCTCCATCCTCCGGGGTTACATGGAATAAAGGGCAAAACGTGCAAGTTAAATGGACTGTGACTAGCAATACTGACAGCACTGTAGACGTGCGTCTCGTCTACGGAAATTCAAACAATCTACAATTTTTGAGAAATTTGTGCTCGGGTATAGATCCTAATGCCGGTGTTTGCAATTACGTTGTTCCTGGTGATATCAAGTCAGATATTAATTACGCTATAGAAGTGGGAAAAGACCCGGCACATTACGGATATTCGTCTTACTGTGAGTAGATTATTTGACGTTTCTTTTTAATTACGAAATGTGCTGGAACGAATAATCAAACCACAAGTTGTTCTTGTCATTTCATCAATTAACGTCAAATTAAATTCGCGGAAAAAATATTATTAATGTTATTGCACAGAACCAACAGATAGAGTTTAATGTTCCACATATCCAGTTTTAGACACAAGCACGATAAGTAATTTTTATTAACCACGTTCGTTTCCTTTATTATAGTCACTATTGTTTCTCAAGGTAGTTTATCAGCAAATCAAGGTTGTCCAAACATGGTAAATATAAATTTACGATTTCAAATATAAATTCATTTATTGTGAAAATAAAAAATTCTAATAATTTAATATTCAATTAAAAAGGGCGGCAATAATTGTACCTCAACTCTTCCTTGCTGCAGTAGTTCCGGTTATTGCGGTGCAACAATTGATTACTGCGGAACAGGATGTGATCCAAGATACAGTTTCAATGGGAAATGTGAAGTTCCAAATTCTGGTACCCCCACCACCACCACCACCTCAGCAGCCGCTACTCAAACAAGTACCAGTAATAAATGTGGCGATGCCGTATGCACATCCGACACTCCATGCTGTAGCCAATATAACTATTGTGGCTCAACTGACGCTCACTGTGGTACCGGCTGTCAACCAGGCAAAAGTTTCGCAGGCAAATGTGTTGTTCCAAATTCTGGCTCGACGACTACTACTAGTGCGACATCCCAACCAACTAGCCAATGCGGAAATAGCGTCTGCACATCCGACACTCCATGCTGTAGCCAATATAATTATTGTGGCTCAACTGACGCTCACTGTGGTACCGGCTGTCAACCAGGCAAAAGTTTCGCTGGCAAATGTGTTGCTTCAAATTCTGGCTCGACGACTACTACTAGTGCGACATCCCAACCAACTAGCCAATGCGGAAATAGCGTCTGCACATCC